GAGATCAGAAAATCTCGAGCGTTGGCGAAGCCCTGCCGGACTGAAGATTGAAGGTGCATGAATTTCAGAAGAGAGGAGGAGATCGGATCGAGTTCTTCAGCGCAGGAAGGAAGAGTTCATCAGATCTGTAGTCCATCGTATTCATCCCTTAAGATTACCCCGTTGTGGTAATTTTAAGAAGAGCAATTATCTCGCTTTTGCCGAGATAAGCGCTTCAGATTCTTAATTCCTTCGTGAATCGACTAAGCTCCGGATCTGATCTTGTTGTCAGGTAGTCCACGGATATTGACGTCCCCGTCACCGGCCAAAAACCCACGCGAGCAAGAGACGATAAACGGATCTTGTGTTATTTTCGAGAGAGTTGTAATTCTTTTATTTTTTTGTTACTTGAATTCTTTGTAAACGATCAAAGTTATAATGAAATCAGTAATGGAAGCAACTTTCGAAGGAAACAAACTGGCGACCACGCTGCCGAGGCTGTCGTGACACAACCGACGATTAAGATCCCGGTGTTCGAAGAGGTCGAATACGAATTCGACCAGCAAAAATTCAAGTAATATATTTTCTCCTCCTCCTTCAGATCTTCTTCTTGCAAACACAGGAAAACCACTGTCATGAAAAACGTGCCTTCAGATCCAAAGACCAGGGCTGATGATCTGAACCCGAATGCAGTGGAAGACCCCTCTCCGACCTCCAAAGAAACCAGATCCAACGTTCGTGACAACTCCTCAAAGGCGCCATCAACATCTCACATGCCAATTGCTAAGGTTTTGGAGTCTGTTGACGGGATCTGCTGTAATGCGGATCTGAAACTCAGAAGGCGCCAAGTGTTCCAGCAGCAAGCAAACACCTCCTCCTCCAAACCAGCAACCAATGAATGGGTTCGTGTCAAAAAGACCCGTTCAACTCTTGAGGAGCGTATCCATAAGCGCCGCGCACTGCTAGCGCAGACAAGGATCCTTGTACGGAAGGCACAGGAGTTGTAGAAGGAAAAAGTGGTCAAAAAACCACCAAGATCTAAGCAACTTTGGATGCCAAAAGCCAAATCAGCGCCTAAGGCAAAAGCATCCGAGACTGCTCTCCGGCCTTCGTCAACTCCAGATCCCGTTCCTATTGCCTCCGCACCTTCAGTGAAGCCCTATGATAGCGTGGATCTCTCCAAATCTAGAATTCTATTGAAGGATCGCCTCGGTTCTCTACTCGAAGATCGAAGCAAAGCGTTTGTTAAGGAACACTTGGGACCGTTGAAGGAGCCTCGAACAAACATCTAGACTGGGGGTCGTATGCGACCTCCTAACAAGTTGATTTCTGTAACCGCCCGCTTGGGGGGCGTACAGAAGGCCAGGAGCTCGTTAAGGTTTCACCCTCAGAAAAGTGTGATTCCAAACGAGTGACTCCTGCAGACGCCAATAAGGCATTGTCTACTCAGAAGAAAACGCGTCAAGCAGATGAACGCGTTATACCTGAGAATTCATGTAAACAGCCAATAGGTTACTCTGACCGCAACGTCGATGAGTTGTACTATCGGGCTGGGGGTACGAATAAATTTCGAAAGAGAGGTACCCGGAAAGCAGATTCTCACTATCCGTGTACCAAAATTATCAGGGCAATATTATCAGCGTATAGCTACCCCAAGACCGCTCCACAGAGGGTCTCGGTATTCCAAAGGCTTTCCTATAAAGCGTCGGAAACTAAGCCAAGGCGTTTTCGTAGAAAAAGATCAGCTACGTGAGACAACGAACTCCCAGAGGTCACTATCAATATGGCTGATAAAGGGAAGTCAATGCGAATTTTCAGTTCTCGTCATTTTTCGGACGTATCCCAACGTATAACTCGGTTACGCGCAGGAACTACTAGGCGTAGGGATTATCAGAGGATGAATAACGGATTATCCTCAGATGATAAAGCATCATATGCGAACTCTGCCATCGCTTCTGACAATACGGTGTCCAGCATAGGACAATCTCGTGAGGCGTTCATGATCAACACGGAACAAATGACCAAGATCATCGAGGATGCTTTGGTTAAGCAAAAAGAGAACTTCAAGTTCGAATTGGAGATAGCCATGATACAGATAAAGGAAGAGCATGACCGACAGATGCATGCTCTGTCCAATCAACTTGGTGAATCCAGCCGCTGCACCCAGAACGCCGCAGTTGACAGCGATCCAGAAGTGGACGAAATCATCATGGCCGACGCACCCTCCAAAAATACTGAGGGTGGTTCAAATGCACCCCCTAGAGATAACAACGCTGGGGGTGGTCTCGCTAAAGATAATAATGCCAAGGGTGACCACATTATTCCTCTTGGAAATCGTCCAAAACATGATATAGACGAGGACGAGAAGATGAAAGACCTCGAGAGCAAAATTAACGCTCTAATGTCTGCTCGAGAGGTAAAGAAGACCGATATTTCGTGTCCTTACACGAGAGAGTGGGATTTGATCCCGTATCCGATGAAGTTCAACCTGATCAACTTCACGCCGTTCGACGGGAAGGGCTCGCCCACTCAGCATCTAATCTGTTAGACCCTAGAGGGGGGGGGTGATTAGGGTCTTATGCTAATCTAATCCGATTATATGCCAATTAAAATTAATTAACAAGTTATCCTAGCAAGTATGAAATACAACAAGTTATATGAGCTAGGATAAGCAATATGAACAACAAGAAATATCCTAGCAAAGAGATATAAGCAATATATGATATATGCAAGGATATGAAACTAACACAAGTGGTAAACAATATGAACTAGATAGTGGATCATATAAATAATGAGCTATGGACAAAGGCGATATAAGATATGAACATAAATATAAATGAACGCCAAAGCACACTCAAACACACTATATGATCACGGAGTTCGGACCTTCCGTCCTACGTCTCCGCTCCCCACTCCCGGGGAGAAATCCACTATCACAACCGGATTTTCTACGCTCACCCGAATAACGTTTACACCTCATAGTGTCGGTTTTCAACGCACACCGAACAACGTTCACTCCTCACACTCGGTTTTCTAGTTCACCGAAAACTTCACAACACACTCGGTTTTCTAGCTCACCGAAAACCTTACACCACTCTGTAGGCATCGAAAATTGCCTATAGGTCTCCACGAACAGCTCAGTGTTAAGGAACGACGATGAACATCACTATCCGGTTCACAGGAGTTCGATTGATGTCGATGAATGATTAAAGTGAATCGACGAACTACGTGAACTAACGAAGGTACGGGCTAATCAGGAGCCCCACGATGTTTACAAAAGGAACAATTCCCTTCGTGTCTCATTCATTCAACAGATGGTCTAACCATCGAAGCTGATAGAACTCCTCGTCAGATTTCCAACGCATTTCGAATCACTCAAATCCGAGTTCGGACGAAGAATTTACAGTGGAAGCGGATGAATACACCTCAATGGAGTGTCTCGGACCAACGAGACACCCTACGGTGTCTCGGCCAAGGCCGAGACACCCTAGGGTGTCTCGACCCAAACCGAGACACCCTAGGGTGTCTCGGATCAATGAGAGACACCCTAGGGTGTCTCCAATCAAGTAGAGACACCCTGGGGTGTCTCCAAGGCAGATTTGGGCTTTTAAGCGTTTTTAACCGCTCCGTTATCCTCTCAAGCCTATAAATACAAGCCTTAGGCCTCATTTTTCGAGAGCACTTCAACACAAGAGAGTTCTTCGTCAGATCTACATCACCCGCATCCAATCCTTAGTATTATCCCGTTGTGGTAATTCTAAGAAGAGCAATTATCTCGCTTCATCGAGATAAGCGCTTCAGTTTCTAGATCTCCTTGCGGATCGACGAAGCTCTGGACCAGATCTGATTGCCAGGTAGTCCACGGATATCAACATCCCCGTCACAGGCTAAAGACCCACGCAAGCAAGAGACGACGAACGGATCTTGTGTTATTTTCAAGAAAGTTGTAATCTTTTATTCTTTTGTTATTTGAATTCATTTGTAACGTTTGAAGTTTAATGAAATCAATGACTAAGGCAACTTTCGACGAAAACAAATTAGCGACCACAGTGGGAGTCGAACCCACGACCTTCTGATAATTCTAAGAAGTGATCGAGCACTTCAACAATCGAAAGATGATTTCCCACAGTGGGAGCCAACAGCCTCGCTGCCGAGGCTGTCGTGACGCAACCGACATTCAAGATCCGGGTGAACGAAGAGATCGAATACGAGTTCGATCAACAGAAGTTTGAAGAGTACCTCTCTTCCTCTTCTTCCAGATCCGCCTCTCCAAACGGGCGCAGGAAGACTTCATCTTCCAAGAGTGCTCGCGGGCCCTCCGGATCGAAGATCCAAGATCCCCTCACCGCCGTTGCACCTACTCCCCGTGACGCTCTTATGGCGTCTAGTGTGGTCGAAGCTGCAGATCCAGATCTCCCTTCCGCCACAAAGTCAACCGCTGAAGGTGTCCCAACCTTGTCAAAGAGGGCGCGCCAAAGACGGCGTCAAAGTCTTGCGCGACAAATGGCCAAAGCCGCAGAATCCATGGACGGGATCCGTTACAATGAGGATCTAAAGTCCAGACAACGCCAAGAGCAACAACGGCGAACAACCAACTCCTCCTCCAAGACAGAAACGAACGAATGGGTTCGTGTCAAGAGGACTCGCTCAACCCTCGAAGAGCGAATCAAGAAACGCCGCGCATTGCTTGCGCATGCCCGAGTCCTTCTGCAGAAAGCGGAAGAGATGCAGAAAGAAGAGATGGTCGAGAAGCCGCCTAGACACAAGCAGGTGTGGGTGCCAAAGGCAAAACCGGCGCCTAAGACAAAAGTGGACGGAGTTGCCGTCCAACCTTTGTTGTTGTTTTGGTTGTGAAACAAAGAGGATCGAGATGATAAGATCATCTGTATATCTGCAAGTCCATCATCCTCAGGCACACGGGGAATGCCAGGAGTCATAAGAGTATCGGCCCCGGTGGCTGGTCCTATGATTACAGCCATCTATTAGTCAAAAATCAGACAAATGAAAAGGAACACGACGTCCTAGATCGTGTGCGTACCTGCAAGTCCGTCACTCCGAGGTAAGCTAGATACGCCGGGAATCGATACTGGATCAGTCCCAATGGCTGGTACTGCAATATCATCTATTAATCAAAAATCAGACAAATGAAAAGGAACACGACGTCCTAGATCGTGTGCGTACCTGCAAGTCCGTCACTCCGAGGTAAGCTAGATACGCCGGGAATCAATACTGGATCAGTCCCAATGACTGGTACTGCTATATTAATCCTCTGTTAGTCAGACAAAAGATCAGGCAAAATGAAGAGAATCAAATATATACCTGTGAATGAATCACTCTCAAAGGGTGGTCCCACAGTTTCTCTGGTAGCCTGTTCAGCCAACATGTCGACTAATAATCCAATGTCGGGTCCCGAAAAATTTGATGCAGAGACATACTCCTGTTTCTCGAGACCTACATCATGAAAAGCCTCATCCTCAACAGGCCTCTCTGATACGACATCTGCAGAATAATTTAAGTATTGGATATATATACAAGAAGATAGGGAAAGAAGAAAAAGCTCAGAAATACCTGCAGCAGGAACAGAAGATTCTTTTTCCCCAATATCCATGCTTGGATTCTTCAAGTGATCTGAAAGAAAGCGCAGCACGAAAAATAATGAATCCTGAATTACTTAACTCTTCTAAATGCTACTCGAGGAGGGTATCATCGGAGTTAGATATACCTGAACATGGAATGGCGGGCTCAACGCTATTAACCTGCTCAGTATCAAGGTTCGTATCGACATCCATGGAATCGTCACGAATGGCGTCGCACATTTACTGCAGGAAGCTATCCAGATTATCAGAACCAGGGAATACGGGATCCGGTGGAAGCTCGCCCTCGTCATAGTACCCTGGAACATAAAACATGATTACGAATCCCAGAAGGTAAACCATCTTAAAGCAAGAAAGACAATAAAATATTACCTTCCTCTCCGTCGGCGAAGTCTCCTAAATCCACTCCATAGGAGCGCTGACCAACGTGTGGTTTATGAACGGTCTTCTTCTTTTTCGGAATACCACCCCTCATAGAACCAACGGGTCGTTCATGCGCGGCTTTGCCATGCGTCTCAACCTGTGTAAGAGCTTTGCCGCTAGGCCTGGATCCCGCATAATGAGAAGCGAGCGACTCATGCTCATCGACTGTCCTACCTGGGGATAAGAGTCATTTCGTTAGGATAAGTGAACAAGACCTTTCGTTGATTCCAATTGAGGTTGAGAAAGAAGACCAAAGAGCATAACAAACCTGCATTAAGTTCTTCTTCGTCAGTGTCTATATCCACATACTCCTCCTCAGAAGTCTCATCCTC